GGAGTCAATGAAGATCCATCATGTATTCCACGTGTGTCTTCTTGAACCATATAAGACAGTGGATATACAAGGAAGAAGACAAATGCCACCGCCTCCTATAGAAGTAGATAATAATGAAGAATTTGAGGTGGAAGAGATATTAGACTCAAGGCGGCGCCGAAATAAGCTGGAATATCTTGTTCATTGGCACGGATATGATATTAGTGAACGCACATGGGAGCCATCTAGGAATCTAGCAAATGCATCAGCTAAAGTCAAAGTTTTTCATCAACGACATCCATCAAAATCAAGATGAAAATCTCTCTTATAAAAGAGACAAGATTGAGGCAAGATAACATTCAATTTCCTATCCTTGTTTGTAACTTCTTTACATTTGTGACGCTAATTAGATGGAGAGCCAACAACCAGCGGATTCAACTCAAGAACCTTTGTTTGCTAACCTGCCGGACGAGACATTACGATTGTCACAACCTTCAAGACGACGCAATCGAGATGAAGATCTTCAAGAATGACATATTCTCCCTCGAATAGATGGTGAGATACAACGCGTTTGGTATCACGATTTGGGAAGAGACTCTCGATGTTTGGTGATTTTGCTAGAGGTAGGAACAACTCCTGATGGTGTTCCGAATATTCTATTCGAAGGAAGTTACGAAGGCCTCAACAATGATCAAATAACTGGGTGGTCTTCCCGCCCTGGTATGCGACACTACCGATGGTTGAAAGGCCCTATCAATCATCTTCGAAGAGAACAGAGATCAGAGTATGTGGCGAATACAATTCGTCGCATCATAGATTTCCTCAACATATGATGACCGCTCCTCGTGGAACTCGTCTCTAGAAGGGGGGGTAATGTCACGGCCATAATCATGTAAGCTAATAATTACATATAGAAATAGGTAGAAGTAAGTAAAAGTAGATAAAAATAAGTAAATTCTATAATATTTAATATGGAAGTTTCCTAGAAACTTCTTACATGCTGCTTTGACTTCATAGGTGTCTTTAATTGACTTTTTGGATTAGAAACGTGGTCAACAAGTTGGCCATGTGCCACACATGTTGTTAGCTTGAAGATCAAGCTAACTATGTGGCCCACACGTAGAAAAACTTGCCTTGTAAGTCAAGGCATGTGTCCTACAAAGTCAACACATATTGGAGGTCCTATAGAACGTCGCCACGTAGCCCCTAGTTAGATAGTATATATAGAGACAAGAGTGAAGGCTTCTTCACTCTTGTCAACTCCTTTCTTGCTTCTAGTCCAAGTTCAAGAGTCTTTAGTTTCTTGTCTTGTGGCAATAGCCATTCCAGTTTCCTTTTAATATACATACTTGTTTATATTTTGACTTATTATATCGAGATAGCCTTTTTGTATATTTTCCCTCATCGAGTCTTTGTCCTTGACAGTTTTTCATTTTGACCAATCAGAGCGACGCATCACCTCTTCGATGTTTTGAGGTTCTGGATCGCCTTCCTCAGAAGAAAGGGCTTCTATAATCATATATGCAAATGATTCATCTACTGTAATAGATGGTCTGTCTCAAATATCATCTGTAGCACAATACAAAATAGATAATTCTTTACTCAACTTGTTCTTATTCTTTCCAGTTCCAAGATTGTTTTTCATAGGAATTGACGGTACATTATGCATGGATATATCATTATGAAATGGTAGTCCTGCAAGATGAGTGGCAATTTCTTGAGAAATAATACCAGGATTAGTTAATTTTATAGTTTTCTTCTTACGTGATTGCTTATCTGGTCCATGAGTTCTTTTAGTTGTTATTCTTATAACTTAAGGTATTGTAGACAATGGCACTGCAATCTGAGTAGGTGCATTTTGAGCCTCATTAATAGGAACTCTTGTAATTCTAGATGCATCATTGAAGCCATCAGGTGTTTCATCCGCGATCCGTTTTAAATGCAAAATCTTAGCAACTTCAGTTTCTGCCAAAGATGTCCTAGGATCGGGATTCATTGTAAATGTTTCTGGTGCTTCAAATATGAGTACTTTATTTCTTTGTTGATTGGATACTCCTCCTTGAAGAGATGGGAATACAGTTTCTTCAAAACGATAATTTTGCAAACGTGCACGTAATAATGTGCTAGTTGATGGATCAACAATACGAATAATGCTTAGTGAATCAAAACCAACATATATGCCTTCTTGTCGATGAGCTCCAATGGTACGTCGTTGAGGTTCTGGTAGTGGAATCCGAGCATGGCAACCAAATACTCGTAAGTGAGATACATTTGGAACATGACCTAAAATGAGCTCATGTGGTGAAACAATTTCAAGAGAAGAAGGGCGGAGGCATATTAATGCTGTAGCATGTAAAACTGCATGACCCCACATAGATGTAGGTAGATTTGCGTGAAGGAGGAGTGGCCGCGTAATGAGTTGTATACGCTTTATAAATGACTCTGCAAGTCCATTTTGAGCATGTTCATATGAAACATAATATGTCAATTCGATTCCTATTACAGTACAATAGTCTTCAAAAGACTTTGATGCAAATTCTTTTGCATTATCCATACGCAATGTTTTTATAGGATAATTAGGAAAATATGCCCAAAAGCGAATAAGCATAGATATAAGATTGGCAAACACCATGTTTCGAGTTGATAATAATGAAACATGTGATTGTTTACCTGATGCATCAACAAGGACCAAAAAATAACGAAATAATCCTGATGTTGGATTAATAGGACCACAAATATCACCATGCAATCTTTCAAGCATTGGTGGTAATTCTTGTGGAAGTTTCCAAATTGAAGGCCGAGTAATCATTTTACCTTGCACGCATGCACGACATAATTCCCTAGAGTCTACATCTGCAGGCTTTAAATTGTGCCCAGTTATACATGGAATGATCTTTCTAAATAATGTGGATCCTAGATATCCCAAACGTTCATGCTAGAGAGAAACACGACTCTTTGAGATAGATGATACAAAATTAAATATAATGGGAGGCCGAATCGCAATTCAGTATAAACCATTTTTTGTAGCAAAGCTTTTTCAACAACTTTATGGTTCTTCGCAAGAACCAAAACTTCTTTTCTATTTAAAGTGGCGGTCGAGAAGTGATAACCATTAATACGCACATCTCGGTAGCTGATCAGACTCCGAGGTGCTGAGGGTGCAAACATCACATGTTTATATTTTATGATGGAACTCGCAGGTAATTTTACCATCGCTGTGCCCTCTTGGAAACAAAATGCATTTGCTCCAGCCATGGTCATCATATTTTTAGTTTTCCAAGTTGAAGATTTTTCAATAAAAAATCGTCTATCTCGCAAGATAGTATGTGTTGTTGCAGAATCAATGAGCGCATCATTTGATTCATCATTAGAGGTTCTATTAGTCATATAAGCCTCTAAGTCATCAACACCAATTGAATCCATGGATGCATCCATGGTATGAACTTCACGAGCCTCAGCTCGTAATTTCTTATTTTCTTGGAACATTTTAATAAAATATTTTGAAGTACGACACACATGTGCTAAATGTCCAATCATTCCACACTTATGGCAAGAACGCATCTCTGATTTTTGTTTTCTACTATAATTAATAATAGAACGTTTATTCTTTCCATATGGATAGAAATGGTCTTGACTATGATTACCTTGATACTTATGAGCACGTTTCCCATGTTTATATAATTTCTTCTTAGACTTTAAAATATTAAGTGCATGAGATTTAGGAATTGTAGTTCCAATAGGACAAGCTTCCGCATTGCGCAAGAATAGCTCATTTTGCTTCTCCACAAGAAGTAGATAGGACATGAGATCAGAATGACTCTGAAATTTCATGTTCTTGTATTGTTGTGCAAGCACAGTAGATGCAGGAGGAAATATAGAGAGAGTTTTCTCAATCATTTCTTCTTCAGAAATGCTTTGTCTACATAATCGTAATTGTGAGACAATACTGTATATTTCACTATTGAAGGCATTTAAATTTGGAAAATCCAAGACACGTAAATGTGTCCAATTATGATGTACACGTGGAAGAAAAATGGTCTTTTGATGATCAAACCTAGATTTAAGATTCTTCCAAAGTTCTGTAGGGTCTTCCATTTCCAAATATTGATGTTGTAATGTAGGTATAAGATGACGACGAAGGAGAAGAAGTGCTTTCCAACGAATAGCAGGAGATATAAAAATACTTGTTGTAGGAGATTCTTCAAACATAATGGCATCCGAGAGTTGTTCTGCAAATAAATTTGCTTTTGCCATTTTTGCCCATAATAGATAATTGTTTCCATCCACAGTCAATGGTGGAAATAAAAGAGCTTGAAAATATTGGGATGCACTGGTAATAGTAGGAACCATGGTAGAAGCAATTGGAGATGTTGAAGCACTCATTATAAATAAATCTGTAAAGAAAATACAAGATCAAGTAGAAAAGTTGAGTAAAACGTACCTTAAAATATAAAATCAAATAAAATGATAAACTTGAACTTGAAAAAAAACTAATATATATATATATATATATATATTTTTATTTTTAAGAAGAGATAGTTGTAGATTAAGGCAGCAAAACAGCAATAAAATGGCGGCAGCAGGTAGCGGTAGGGCGGCAGGGTGGCAGCAGCGGGCAGCGGCGGCGGGTGGCGGCGGGCGGCAGCGGCAGCGGCGGATTCGGCGGCAGTTCGGCGCCAGTTCGACGTCTGTTCGGGGCGCAGCAGGGAGCAGGGAGCAAGTAGAAGGTGGAGTTGGGCTGGATCAAGTATTCAGAGCAAGCAAGGCAAAGAGTGGAACAAGTGCTCTAAGCAAGCAGCTAATGTGTGAGGGGCCAGCAAGAAGAACAAGATCATGACCCAGACACTAAGCGAGGGTAGCAACAGGTTTGAAGAGTCAAAGACTAGAGCAAAAAAAATTGTGATAGTGTGTAGAAGAGAATTGTGCTGATAAAGTGTTGAGAATGTTTAGAAAGACACAAGAGTAATAGTAAGTCATACACACACACGAGTAGTAGTAAGTCATACACACACAAGGGTTTCTAAGGAGAGAGAGCTTCACACACACAAAAATCCATTGATCTGGTTGTATCTCGTACACAAGAAGAGAGAAAATAAGAGGATGAACAGTACTTCTCCACTAGACTCTAAATACTGTAGCTACAGTAATTACTATAGTCTATCATTTAATGATCTCAACAGTAACGAAGTAATTGCTACGTGGGATCAGGACCACCCCAAGAGAAAACTTATGTGTCCTAGTTTAATATATTAGTCTGTCTAGCTTGTACATGTAACCCATCTTGGCCAGACCTATCCGGGGTGTCTGTATCTGTCTCCTTCTGTTCGCAGCAGAGTTTTTCTTAATTTGTGTCAAAAAATAAATAAATAAATGAAACTGACGAGCATATACATAAGAATATACCAATTGGAAACCTAATAAGACCAAAAAAAAATTTAAGATTCGTGTGTGCCTTAAAATGAAATGGCTCTGTGACAGATAAGAGGGCGGACAACCTCACTCTACAAGCCCAGTAGGGCTTTCCTGCATCACCTAAGTTAGGTATATCTACCTACTCGCTGGTACTTATTCTGTCGATTGTAAGTGTGCACTCATGATTCTATTTAAAAACCCGAACTTCTGCTACAATGCTGTATTTTGACAGCGGTAACAAGGCAAGTAGTGCCAAGGCAGTCGAGGTAGGCGGCATACAGCCTAAACTGAATATGTGTATAGTTGATACTCCAATATAATGTCACGCTGCACCAACGTTCATATATCCCATATGTGCTTGGAAACGTTACAAGCCCATAAGGCACTTTGTAAGGAAGTTGCCCTTCTGTAAACAGACAATTCTGTGAGATGAGAATAGTGAGGGAGAGGCTAAACTATTGCCAATGATCACACATAATCAAAACCTAGACTTCAAAACACAGATACGCGAGCTCTTCTCAAAGAGAAACCCACCTGTTTGCTTCGTCTTAGTTCGCGGCTTTGAGTGCACACGTCCTCTTCAAAATGTTGCTGCTCTTCAAAAGCCTTTCTTGGAGACAACAATCTCTCCTCTTCTTCCTTGACCTTTCCAAACACAGAGGAGCACAAACTCAGACAAGAAAGCAGGGAAGGCCACAAATCCTGTCCACGTACCACTCAGTGGCTGGCTTAAATTTAAAGTAAATTAGAAGAAAACCGACCTTCAATTTTTCACTTAGATCTTCGACGGGAGCTTCAGCAGCAGTGTCAACCGCATCACTAGTATTATCCATTGCATTGCATTTAACCTGAAGCACATCCAATCAATACGTATGAGGTCGTAACCACCTACAGTGCTCATTTATCTCAGGCTTAAGGACAAATCCTTCTCACTCATTGTATCAAGTGATGTGTACCCTAAGAGAACATTCCTGAAAACAACAAGCATGTCAAGGTGCGCTAAATTTTACGACTTGCAAACTAAAGATCAGCAACATCTGGAAAAGAATTGGTAGATCAGAACACTCCAAGCGGTGAAGACAGAAACATAGGTAGCAGAACAGAAAATATCATCCAAAAGTGATAATGCAAAATCGGCATCAAAACTTAGCTAATTACCTCGTCGGGACTCTCAATTCGGTCTACATGGACGTCGCAATTCTCTCCTTTGGGCTTCGCAACTTCAACTGGAACTCCGGGAACGCAGGCGCTATTGATGTTGAAAGCGTCCGGCCGCCCAGACTGCAAAATTTCAATAGACATTCGAAGACGTGCCAACTCATCCTCCTTCGCCAAGGCCTCCACTGACATCTGCGAAATCATTGCAGAATTTTTCTCTGCTTTTTGCATCAACGTTTCCCTTTCGTTTGTCAGGTCTCGAGCAAGCTTCTTTAGTGTCTTGATCTCCTTCATCTGTAGATACGCATTTAAGAGGCAATCAGCTTCACTTCAGTGAATGAATCACACAACGCAGAACCTTCTAGTACTTCATGGAGGAAGTTCAAGCCATCAGAATCTACCTTCTCAGCAAAGATTCGTTCATCCCTTGCGAGATCCTCAGTAGCTTCCTTCAATGTCTCTTCTTTAAATTTCACGTCACTTTCTTTAAGTGCTAACCGCTCCTCCAGATCCCGTATGGTTCGTAAATTTTGGTTGATGTTGCGATTACTTCCACTAGTTCGATCCGGCGAGTTACAATTCGCACCCTGTGTCGAACGTGAATCACGACTGTTATATTAGCAGATAATCCGTAAACAACTTCCTCCTAGATTTAAATTTTAAAAAAACAAAGAGTGATTACCTTTGCATCTGCTGTGAAAGGAGTATACACCATCTCCGGCATCAATGCGACAGAATGGTCTTCTTTTGGTTGAGAACTGGGCCAGCTATTACTGCATTCTCGAGCAGTCTCCCTGACGGTAGGAAAGCTAGGATTCCTCTCACTTCTCGTTGCAGCATCAGAACTAGCTGGCCTATCTAAGCTAGACAACGAACTACCACTGGATTCAAAACCAGGACCTTCATTATCAGTCTCACCCATGGCCCTCTTCATCCTTATTAACAAGTGGTCCTTGACCATAGGACTGATATCCATGACACCTTCCCAACGTGGCATTTCTTGCATCAATGCCGCCAGTTCTGAGTTCACTTCATCCAATTTTAGCTGCAATAACACAATTTTGATAAGTTCAGGGAAGTGGAATTACGAAAATGAGGGATCGATTAAGAATCAATCGCTTAGAAAAATCAAAAAACGCGACCAAGTTTGAGAACGAAATGCATCTGACGGAGCCGAAGTTCAAGGAAAGAAATTACTGTATTGACTTTGGAGATCCTCCACACTCGACGAAAATCACATACAACAAAACTTGACAGGTCGATGAACAAACAATGCGTAAAGATCAAGCTAATGTTGAATGTATCTCAAACATGTCGTACAAGAGGAAGAAGTGACATCATATGAATTAATTCAATAGTATGATCATCAAAAACATATATTCGAAGAAGAAAGTTTTATAAGCTTTTCAGAGTGGAAAGATCAACGAGAAAAGAATGAGGGGATTTGAGCATGGAAAACAGAACCACAGCTTATAGAAGCAATCAAGATTGAGTGCATAGATCGTCATCTTTAACATCCACACGAAAGACAACAATAAAGATGGAATGAGATTGTACAGCCTAGGTAGCAACAGAGTATGCATACCAAGACTAATCGCAAGACACACATGCGCAACGAGAAGTTCTAACCTGGTAATGATTGCGCTCGGTACGTAGTATCAGCATTTCCTCCTGCAGATTGTTAACTAACGACTGCAATCCCTGGCATCATAACATCAGAGAGCAAGGCTTCGTGTAAACGACTACGGTTTAGCACAATAAAGATTATGATAATACCTCAGACCATCAACTATAACTACAGCATCTGGGACACTTCACACAAAAACATTGATCACCAGTAGGACTGTACAGAAATATACCCCAATTAAGCATGTAATTAAATAGGTCCTACATATGTCAAAACATCTAAACGCAAGGCCAGGCAGTAAGTTACTTGTATATCATCTTTCAGTTTGAGACATTCGTGTTCACTTTCTCTGCTCTTCAGACGCAAAGTATTGAGCTCCGCAGTCACCTCCATTGATGTATCTGCCCGTGTCCTTCATAATGGTAATACGAACACAGTTATACACTGCAATTTAAGGAGACCCTTAGAGATATGGCAACACAAACACAAGCCTCCAATAACGTTCGTGCAAGCAACCATCCCAAATTGCGAGACACAAGTAGCTATATTTTTCACCAAAACTCGCCATCTAGAGGCTTTTAGTGCCCTAAACAAAAGTCCCTCATGTTTGAAGCACTTATCCCGACAACTACATAAACAGTCACGTATTAACACATTCACTGTAGACTCTGTATCTTTATTTTTGAGTGATCCAGCTGATCTCCTTAGAAAATTATTGGAGTAGTAAACAGTTGAACTGTACTCAGAGAACCAATGGTGTCTGTATGACGCCTAATTAAAAATATTGACGAAAGACAAATCGCATGTTAGCAAGAAGTTCTTGATGAAATTCATACAGGAATAGATCTTGCGGTCCACTGGCGAGATCTAGGCCCGCATTACGAATTCGCGAATTCAGCAACTCCAGTTGTAAAGCCTGTTTCAGATACAAAACCTAGTCAGATTTAACATTCGGATGACGTCATTCTCAGAAGCATTTTATACTGTACTTTCATACTGTACCAAGCTTAGTCAAGAGCTTCTTACAAGATTAGCATTAGTCTCACCCGGATTTCTTGTCGCAGATGATTCAGCAAGATAGACTGCGGATCACGATTGATGACAGGCTTGTTACGAATGTTGCGGGCACGATTAGCATACTTTAACGTATTGAGTGTCTCCTCAAAATTTGTGTCAGCAGTGCTGTAAAACAAGATGCAACCAACAAAAAGCTATGTTGGTCTTCACTGTTTTCAAAAGAACATAAGCATGAAATAAGAAAAACTAAATTTAGGATAATTCAACGAAGTGAAAAATTAAAGTAGAATCTAGTGGATCACTCGTTTTGTTACTTTCTACTACAGTTTACCTAATGCACGCAATCATACACGTTCGACTGTTTCCACCCAGGGAATCCTGCAAAAGCGTAAAACGTAACCCATATGTCCCAAGTGGTCAGTTTTTTCGTAATTTACACACTTTTCAGGGTGACAACCAAAATAAGATTATTAAAAATTAATTTCAAAAAATAAACAACAAATCAGTGTTCTGCAATAATGCTTTCAAGGTCACCTGAGAGCGAACTCTGCAGGTTAAATAACCAAGAGCTGATGAAAACTATGAATATGATGCAAGAAAGCAAGAGCTTTGTCCTCCTTATCAGGTCATAGCAAAGCGAAACATGGTTCGATTTTCATCGGGTTTAACCCGAGCAAAAACAGTTAAATTTAGTATTATCTAAAGAAATTCGAACACTCAATTTCGTAGCATGAAAACCAACATGATTGGAATTAAGACTAAACTAAAAGTAAAGTGAGCTAACCTGCAGCATACGTGTGAGCTTTGACTCCCTGTACGGTACATGCTGACACCTTTTTCGCTCATCCCCCAATGCGCTGCAGATGTAAATTCCTGAAAATAAGTGAATTGTTTGTTGCGAGCAAAAGAACAGATTATATATATTGTTGATTATATGTTAATATGAGACCATCCAAGTTCATAAAATGAAAAAAGGATAACATTGGTAAAATTGCAGCAGATAGATGGCACCTTATGACGTTCCCTAAAGCAAGAAGACCGCAGTTAATAGTGACAGATTCTTTGAATCGCATGCCCACAGCACCCGTACGCTTCACCCTTTCTGAGCCTGCAAGGTCTACCTGCAACACATCAATATCAAGAAGCTTTAACTTACAGATAACCTTGCACAATGCAGACTTTGTGCAATGCTGAATTGTGCATAGTCTATTCCATTCCAGTTGTCCAACGTTGACTTTGTGAAACTCCCTGACCAACATCAGTTATGATGCGAAGGTGAGACGAAATCCCAAAAATATTAAGCTGGTTGCTGAGTAGGGGCAGGTGCAAGACTCACCAAATGAAACTTCGCAGTGATGACTTCATTGCTAGCACTATCCAGAATGCTCCGCTGCTCGACAATGATGGTGAAGATAGCATGTGAGCGGCTAGAATGCTGGTTCATTAATGTACTTCCTGTTGTGCGGAACATTGATCCATGTTCAAGAAGCCTGGAAAAGTAGACAAAAGAACCACACCTGCGTTTAAAGATTTTCAAAGCGGGAGGTTCACACAAACCAGAGAGTGAATCACAACTATTGCAACAATGAGGCAAGGAACAAAAGTAACGTTTAAGGTGAACCGGGAGATAATTTTGAAAGCTTCCTCTACGATAACCTTTACATAACCAAGCGTCCAATTATTGACCAATGGCAGTGTTTGTCCTCGTACACTCTTCTAAGACATACTTCTGCAGTATGCTTGGCAACCTAGTAACTCCATAATGGCTCCAGGAGAATATTTCCATGCTTTTTACTTGACAAACCCTACATGTAAAAGACATCAAAAAATTCAATACCTATGGATAGATACCTGATCATGTTTTCAAAGTTGGTGACGACTTCTTCCTTGACACCTGCGAGGACGATATCGCCCTTTGCATCTTCGCGAATGGAAATAGACTTTGATGGCGTATCTGGATGGAGCAAATCTTTTATCTCCTCGTTATAAATCTCGACATACGCGCACTTGATCTATAAATACATGCATGATCCCTTCCACTATCAGCGCTTCAGTACAAGCAATCTCAACTTAAGAATGTTGGACACAAGACAGTACTCCATTAGATTTCACGACACAAATATCACACTTGCAATAGAAGAGCTGATTTTATTATTCAAGAATACAATAAAGCACTTCAGTGTTAGATCCAGAATGAATACCAGAAACTCAGCCTGATTACTGCGCTCCTCAACACACTCATAGAGCTGGCGAATCGCCCGAGGTAAAATGCCGAGATCCTCCTTCAACAACGACACATTGTTGCCGCAACCCATAGTGAAGGTCTTTCCGGAACCTGTCTGTCCATATGCCAGTACTGTTGCATTGTACCTGCCCATTACAAAACTACCGTATGAGATTCAACAAAATTCCAGGTCCCTACTGCAAATAGGACATGAAAAGTTAACGAATTTTAAGAGAACACAAATATCTTATCATTTCGAGTGTGCTCAGCTATCATAAAGATGCAATAAGCTGAAAGCTGGCCAATGCATGTGATCGAGTAGGCAATTACGACGGACGAAGAAATTTACCCATAGTTAAATCACTGCAAAGCCCTGAGCGAAGGAGCTCAGCGGCATCAAGTGAGGGTGCTCAAAAAGCTAGAAAAAGGTGTTTAGAATGGGAATTCCGTCCAGAAAGCTGTACGCGTCTATATTGTACGCTTAGTCGAACACGAGTATTCATGAGCCCGCTCAATTCTTGTGATAGATGTTTCTTAAGCACGACATTTACTAATCCCGAACCCTTTCAGTGTAAACAAATTCTACCTTGCCCCACATTCATATGCAAGATTAAAAAGAAGAAACTAAATTTAATAGAAATGCATCGTGTCCTTCACAATGGATCGTATTTCATTGGTGCATTTTTGGTTCCTGCAGATCATATCCCCTACGACAAAGTGTGAAAGTATGTTTGCCTACCCCGCGCAGCAGCTTTCGACAAGGGGCTTGACACAGTTGGTGTAGACATCTTCCTGACTAGTGGCAGCGCCGAAGACATGATCAAAAGTGAACCTGCGTTCTGCGCCTATAATTACTTGTTTCCCACACTCCGAGTATGAAACACATTCGGAGCAGTTCTCTACCAATTCCTTCTCAACCAAAGGGCGTGCGCGTACTGCCACTCGCACTGACGAACAGCCGTCGTCCACGGCCAAAGAATCGTGCTGCGAGGGCGACAGTGGCACCGTCATGTTTCTCGTCCAAACATAGTTGTAGTCACCGCAACTTCTCCACTTTTCCAGGCAAGCGTCATTCCTCCCCTACATTTTGATTTCACTGCCCGCGACGCTCTCGCATTCAAAATGCCACGTGTTGATCACCTGGCCTCTGTAATCACCCAACCAATCTCCAATTTGCCACATTCTGCAGCGGAACGTGCGTACTGTGTTACAAATTACATAAAACTTCCTTACAAGATTATTACATAAACCTGGAAGAATCGGATAGAATATTAAATAATCAGTCCGCCTTGCCCAATTTCCTTTCGAAATTACTTCTCGTATACTCAACGCTTCATCCCTTGAGCGGATAATGCGGAAGAAGATGACTACTTTCAAAACGTGCAAGGAGATGGATAACAATACATGCCTGGGCAAGAGAGGAAAAATGCGTGTACAAAACTGGCTAGCAACAGTACTACGTTACTGTGCAACGACAATGGCGAAATGCAAAACACATCAATGAAGACTATCGCCCTCCGGAGAGCTTGTATGAGATCAGTCAGCAATAAACCCCTGCACCCTGCACTTCCTACACAGTCTCGAACCGATCGTTGCATACCGGCGATTCCAAACACACTTGTCCGTTATCTTTTATGAAGACAACCCACTCCTTGGCGTCATTCTTCTCCTCCGTCCTGATTTCCCCAATCCGATCCAATGACAATCGAAATGCAGTCCCGCAACAACAGCAAAAAATGACCTCAAACGCAACTTCCGTGCAGCCAGCCAGTGTGAAACACCATCATGGCCTCATCTGCAATGTGCACATGTGTGTCTCTCGTGCAGCAGCGGCAGAGTCAATCACAGGCAGAAGTGATGATTTCTTCGCAAAGCACAGACAAACGCAACTTTTCCCCAAAGCTTCGGAAGAGGTGACGTCGCAACAAAATCCTCTCCACTTTCTTCCCTCCTGGTTAACTTCCTCCTCCTCTTCTCCCTCCTCCTCGCTCAGTAACCACACCCGATCCCCCGGAAGTCTCCAATTAGTCTTATTCCACAATTCCCCCGAATAGTGGACTCCTCCGCGTCTTCCTCCCCGCCCCGAGATCCGCCACAACGATTGCCCGATTCCGGAACCCCAACGCTCGTCCCCCTGCCGTATGGTCCAATGCGGTTATATTCTCGGGTGAGATCTTCCGCAGCCCCCTCGTCTTCTTCTCCTTCTTGTCCGTCTACTTCCGCGATGGACCATGACGCACCTGCACGGCGCTCCTCACGGCTAATCCGTCCTCCTTCCAGCTTCGTCGCTTTTTGTTTATTTTTATTTTTCCTTTCTGTCGCTTTCACCGCGTCAGAGTGCCGCTCGCTCGTTGGCCCGCGACGTTGCAGGATGGTGACAGCAACTACAGTGGAATGATGAAGAAGCCCTCTCCCTCTATAGTTCCACTGCTGCTATCAATGCTGCTGAGTGGTACGAGGCTCCACAGGAGGAGCTCTTAGTTAAAAGTGGCCATTGCCTTCCTTGGCCTTCAGATGCTAAACCAGGAGCATCTGACTTTTCATGGATGCTTTGTAATCAATCGGGCTATCAATTCTGCCAACATGCACCACATTGAATGACTCACCCTCTCCTCCTTTTTCCTCTTTTTCCCCCTTCTCCTTTTTCTTCCCCCCTCCCCCCTCAAAAGTACCAGGAGCATGGCAAAAGAGCTTTCAGTCCCCCTCCAGGGTAGGAATAGTGAAAGGTATATGAACCCATCCTCTCTGTGGTGGCTCCTTCACTATACAACAAACAAAGACAGCCCACCACAACTCCACCAACATTACCCCCCCCCCCTTGGAGTTGACACATGTGTGCTTGTTTGATAGATGTCATTGTCACATACACCTCTCAAGTCACAGTTCACCCCCTTCTAATTGTAATAGATAGTAATAATAATAATAATAATAATAACAACTTTAGGAAGAAGAAGCTGTTAGACCTGGAGCCTATTATTATCTGTAATACCCCTTTGCAAGACATGCATTCATTCAGTTTTTCTGTTGTTAGTAATGTCATCAACACTCCAAACATGGAATCATGTCTATGAACTGGGAAAGAGAGATGAGGAGAGCAATTCAATAATTGACCACAGGGCAGTGAGACCCCACAATGAGATCCCCAGATGCCATGGTGTCTCTCACTGGGGACAGTTGGCTGGTTTGTGAGACAGGTTGTGGGCCTCAAGCTTTGTGGTGAGTTGCACCAGGTGTGGGGCTGGCTGACAAAATCTGAGATGTTGATCTAAATGCCGGCTCCCCTCTTGGAGCTCCAAATGACCAATGGAAGGGCAGTAGGATAAATTTTCCTAAAATTGACTACATAACCATTACAAACAGACACATGAATGCCCTCCCTCTCCTTGTTGGACACTCATGAGAGTTGAACATGACTTGGTTCCTTTGGACACCATCAAACATGTCTCAAGGTATTGCTTCATTGGTCAAAAGGAATGCAAAGGGCCATATTGCAAGTTGAAGTACCACCTCCATAACAATGACACTTGGGAGGGGTGGTGGAAATGTTTTTTTTTGCATTTTTTTTGTTTTCTTTTGTTCAGGATTTGTTTGAGCTTATGGAGAAAGGTTGTGTTTTTTGAAACTCATACACTTACAATTGTGTAATATAATGCTATGTGACACACACCAATGCTTTTTGCAATACAATTTCAGTCTGTCAAGTTTTGTTGGTTATGTAGTCAATTATGTAATCAATTTTTAACAAAATTATTTTAAAGTTGAATAGAAATGTAGCAAAAATTAATCTAGTGCTTTTAAAAATGATTGTGGTTTCAAAAGCAGGTAAAAATTGTTATATTAGATACTTGCAACATCAAAGGTAGAATCCTTGGTATTATGTGTTTTTTCAAGGAAGGAGAAAGTTCTATATATATATATATATATATGAAGATTGGTTCTCCTTGGATATGCTTTATTGATTGATCAAAGATCATGACGTTGAAATTAATCACTTTCAAACTCATTATGTGTGCAGGTTGTTATATAATATTTTCATTTCCAATAATTGAACATGCAATATTATTTAAAATGAAAAAGAGAAAGAAAAAGTGAAAACAGGCATAATTTTTTTATGATTTACATAATGACAAATTTGATCATTTAAAATTTTATTTGTAATATTTCCAAGATTATTTTATTTTTACTTTATTTTCCCTAAAAACACTGTTGATGACGGGTTAGAAAAGCAAAAGAAAATAAATAATTTTTTTTATTTTCTTTATTTGTGCACTTTTTCCTGAATTTCAGTTCACAAAATCAGAGATCAATTATTTTTTTTTATATACTGTTAGATTGAGGTACAAAATTTTGTAATTCTAAAGACATGCTCTATGAATGATTCTTTTATAATTAATATTATGACTGTTAAAAGATTTAAATTTTTTGATTCATTGATTTTTTATACAATAATACATGAATATTATTAATTTAGTAAAACATGATTATTAGGAACAACTTCGAATTTTAGTTTAAACTATACTCATCAAACTACGATTACAAACGTTATTAGAATATTGGTCTTTAAACTAAATAATTTACACAATTTTTTACAACTGCATAATTATACTATAATATACATTTGATATCTTTTAAAAATGGAAAATATTAAAAAAAATAAAAGTATTTTATTTTTAAAAAATAAACACAATAACTTAAATATTAAATATTTAGCTTGTCACAACTGTAGATTATACATTCCCTCTACCCTAAACCTGGTAATTCTTATGTTTTTACAATAATTTAAAGACCTCTGATTATTCTACAAGTTTTTTCTCTCTCTTACAATCGTTTTGGATCAAGCATCAAGTTTTTTATTTTATTTTATTTTATATTTTGATATTTACTTTTTTGATATTTTACAAATCAAAGGTCAACAGATTCATAATACTATATAATTTACTTTAAGTTTGAACCGCAACCCATAAAAACCTTTGACATTAAAATTAAGAATTACTGATATTATGTGAAAATAAAAAAAATCTGAATCTATCTAAAATTTGATTTTTATTTCTAAATATATCTAACTATTCTAAATACTCTAACTATTGGTATCCTAACAAAACAATCCAGATATTTTCATTAAAAAATATTCATATGGATGATTTTTTTCCTTTTGATTTTTACATGAATTTTTTATGACTTATATCTTTTAAAATCCTTTTTCCTCAAAGATTTAATTAAAATAATATTAACAAAATTCTTTATATTTAATGTGTAGACATAAAAGAAGATTTTTAATTTAAAAATTTTAGGAATTAATTTGCCTTAATATAATTTATGTTGTACAAATTGTAATCTATCTATTTTTAATTTGATATTGTGCTAAATTTTTAATTTTTAATTTTATGTGTACTTTTGTGGTTTTGACAAAAGAAATGTATATTATTTTTTTATATTTAAAACTTATAACATGATTTATGAAGACATAAAATTATGATACTTTAGATGAGATTCATTTATTGTATAAAAATAAAAATTGAAAACTATTTTATTGTTTTAAATATAGAATAAATACGTACAAAGATAATAGTTAGATAGTTTATCATCCACTATATATTTTACATGCCTATAGTATTATTAGAAATTTCATAAACCTATAAAAAATATTTCCAGTAGTGAAAATATATGAGAAATTGATAATTGTATATAAAGTATTAATGATTTTATATAAAGTATTAAAAATTGGCATGTAATTATTTTTATAATTATTTATGATTTATAGAATAAAAAAAATTCAATCACTTCAGAATTTAGAAAAACTCAATAGATTTTTTTTTTAATTTGATTTATTTTTTATTTCTTTCTTTCTTTCTGTTTTTTTTTTTTTTTTTTTTTTTTTTCATATAAATCTATAAATATGTAATATGATGTGTGATTTTGATCAAAGTAATTAAACATACATTTGTATGTATTTATGTGTACATATATGCAAGTAAATGAACAAAAGTAATTTGTGTAAAAAATAAATAGATGTATTTCTTTAAAATTCCAACTATAAAATGGTAGCTACTCAGTTCAGTCAAATCTCTGGTTGACTAAATTTCAATGTATATCTCATTAATAAAATCATAAAAAAATATTCATATTTTTCGAAATATTTATTAAAATATATGTGATTGTTTTGAAAAATTTGATTTTTTTTTCAAAACAAGAGTGTTTTAAGAAGTTCAACTGATAACATTTCAAATTGTTACAACATCTGTAATGTTAGTGTAATATTATAGTTTATTCATTAAAGATATTTAAAAATAAAATTCCTTTAAGTCTCAACAATAAATTAGCTTGTAGATAGATTTTTTTAATATATATTAATATATTCAACTATTTTCCTCTTTTAATGTCAAAAATATTATTAAATTATTTTATTGATATAGATATATTTTGAATTTATTTTTTGTATATTCAAGTTTTTGAAGATTTATCAATAAATTACACTTTTTTATTTAACTATTATATCATAGTTATACAACCCAAACATCTTAAGTTATATTTATTAAAACTTTGTCCATTGGATTTGCTCTTTCTTCGTTTTTATTATTTTTAGAACAATAAGAACTAATATTAGATAATTTGGATGAATTTTTAATAGAATTTTAATCTATGGATGGAAAACATGATGCAACTTATATAACAATAAAAAAAATTGTAAATTTTATGACTAAAATTGATTTAAGTTAACATGTCCATTATTATTTTGATAATTAGCAATTGATATAAAATAAAATGATGTTGCTCTTATAAATCAATTTGTCTATAAGTTACAATATGATTTGTAGAAATTATTACTTAACTTGCTTGATCTTCAAACTTTGAGTCAAACTATTAATATTATTATCAAATAGAAAGCTAGATTTTCAAATTTTAATTGAAGAGTCATATATTAGTACTTCCATGCTTCTATACATTTATTGCAAATACTTCTACCAATTAATATATAGAATCAAATGTAAAAGATATCCAAATTGATGATATATATTTCAAATATCTTATAAGATAAGAAAAAACTTGATGACAATAATAAAGATTATACTTATAATATAGAAAAAAAAAGTTTAATATTTTTTTAAAAGAAATAAAACTTTAAAATAAAGATTTCAATTTTAAAAGAAGGCAATGTGTTATAATAAGTTTGCACAATAATATTAAAAATTATTCTATTGGATTCTTGTGCCACATCATCTTATGAAGGCTCTAATTATTTTTTAAATCATGTACTTTTTTTTAATATAAGTCTACTTAGGATCTAAATAACTACTATTTCTATCCTATTATAGTTAGATTTTAACATCTTTACTTATTTTTTTTAATAAAAATTTTGCTAAATATCATAAAAAAAGTTAGTACAAAAATTCAAACTTATATATACAAAATTCATAGATAGAAAACCTTTATTTTTAAGAGATGCTACCAAATAAACCACAAAATAGAAATA